ATTTCCACGCAATTTTGGCAACATGAATAGCATTGTATGATATGATGTTAAATCATCTATTTTATTAATGTCCTGTCACTTTTGATGACATGGGTCACATGATTTATAATGCATCTATAATTATTTTCATTTAAAATTCAAGTTTGAACAGCAATGGCCCAAGAGTACCATATAATGGTCTATCTAATTTCAAACTGAATTTAGAAAAAAAAGAGTACTTTATTTCAATCCAAAATGAAGGGATTAGAGACACACAATGATTGTAAACTTACCATAATTTATAATCTATACGAACTGCGGTCTTATTCTAATCAAATTGAGAATTGCGAGTCTTGGGGATCAAGAGGGACTTGAGGGACGAGCGGGACTTGTGAGACGTGCAGGACTTGTAGGGCTAACAGGGCTAAAGGAACTTGCGGGGTGGGTGAGAGTATAAATGAGTGAGGGTGTGAGTGGGTGGGGTGGATGCAGGTGTGAATCGGTGGTGTGAGTGTCAACTTTAGCTGATACCCACACCCATATTAATAATGGTATCACCTTCTATAAACCAAAGAGCATAACTGAGCATTGGATAGATAAATGATGGATAAGTATAACACCAAATAGCTGATTGAGCCTGATATTCTTTTTCAAATCGATCAATATTGATTGGTAGGCCGGAGCTATTCTGTCGGCAGTAAGTAATAAATTGTTTGATGGCCTATTTGCCATATTCCATATCACGAAGAATTTCTTTGAACATCTGAGTGTACATAAAAATTGATTCGAACTGATTTAGACCATCAGTTGAAGCCATGTCATTTTTTTGTCTATTCTTTCCGTAAGGATTGAATATTGCTGAAGACATAAATACTGTCGAGCTGAGGGATATTATTGATGAGGGTATACTTTGTCGAGCCATATTATCCTCGACAACGAGAAAAGACTTAAGGTCTTGACTACCGAAGGGAAAGTCAATGCATCCATCTCTCTGCATAAAGACGTTGATATTGTCGGCACTGGTTTGTAATTGTGCAAAAGTGTTTTTGCAATCTTTGCTTGTTCCATTCACACACTCATCTAACCAGATTAGTAAATAATTTTGCACCATACGTCGTTGTCGTTCGCTACTATCAGATATTGCTGTTGATTGAAGCAATTCAATTTTCTTCATCGAATATATTGTTTTCATTCTATGTATAATGGGATAATAAAACGGTAGTTGTGTGCCTTTTTTGATTGAATAGATAATGGTGAAGGAGATGAATGAGCTGTATTTTTTATATAAGAATGAAATCCCTTTATCTCAACGTTTTGTGGTATCATTAACTATTTTTTATGTTTATTACTATTACTTATAATAAAACTGTCTTGTATATCACTTAGTTTATATCGCAAAGTACGGTGAATAGAAAGAACAGAAAGCAAAATTCATCTTTTTCTACTTTCTTCAAAGATACGAAATTGTGTCGTTACTAACAAAAAAAAACACATATTTACCTTGTAAATAATGCATGTCGCAAATCTCACAGTATTTTCTTTTGTTTTTCAATCTCATATTGAAATTACACAAGAAAACACATTAAATAATAAGTTTTTTTTGTGAACGATTTTGAGGATGGATGTGAGTATGGTGTTGCGCCCGCCCATTCCAACGCATTTCTTCTTTTGCAATTATGTATTAGACAATTTAACCCTTTCGCTTCCCCGGTATAAAAAAAGCTACACCTGTTTTTTTATATTTCTCATAATGTAGTTCATAAAAATTAGTACATAATCTTTTGAAAGGAAATAATAGAGAGCGTTTTAGGATCTTTTCGAAATACCTGTGCCATATACGCCCCCTTCACATCTTCCATTCTACTCTTCTCTTCCTCTGGATATTATAGTTCAAATGACAACGAAGAGAAAATCTTTATCAACTCCATTATTAGCACATATGCCTGTTACTAGACCTAAAGAAAGGTGTGGATATTGCAGTACTAAAGCTCGTCCGATATTTAGTAACATAAAATGCAGTTTTTGTGGTATTTCTTTGTGTGTAAAACAGCATAAAAATTGTTTTTTGTTATTTCATGAAAACACAGTATAAGTTTTGCAATTAATAAACTTCAACAGTTAAAACTGCCGTTCAGCCTAATAGAGTTCAATGCAACTGATATTGCGTAAATCGACTAATCACCTGTGGGAACACATGAGATATGTCTAACATATACTCTTATGTCTAGAAGAAGCTAATTCAACGATTTACTTGAATTCAATCCAACGAAAAATAATGCGGAAGCGAAAGGGTTAATATACACAAAAAAGATTATTTATTGACAAAAACAAAATAAAGCATACTTAGAAGAACAAAAGAAGAAAAGCAATATACAAAATTCTTGTTTTTCATATTGATACAAAAAGTAACCAAGTACATAGAACTAAAATCATATAATTTAAACTGACAGTAAACAATATGCACAATAACATTCAAAAGATTAAATGAGATTTTACACAGAAGAAAAAAAAAACAAAATAATAGATTGCTTTTTTTGACAATGAAGTATGCACTGTCTATTTGACAACGACGAAAATCACCGAGAGAAAAATTCGAATAAATTAAAATAGTTTTCATTTTAATTTTTCAATGTGATGAATAATTTTAAGTGATGGACCAAGTTTTAAGCCCATATGTCTCATTAATGTGTCAGTTGTTAAAAGTAAAAGAGCTTTTCCATCGATTTCCTAATAAATAAAAGAAATGATTTTTCTAATATAATACAATCAATAAAATACTTCTTGAAGAAAACGTGATGCAAGACTATCAAATGATGGATCAATTCCTCGAATAAATA